TAGAATGTGGATGAGTTCAAGTGGTGGTCAATGGGAAACTCAAATAGGAGATGCTAATGTTGGACGTGTGTGGGTTAAAGATAGGTTCGGTTTAGGTGCTGTTGGTGTTAATGGCTATGTTTTAAATTGTGCTGGAAAATCGAGATTTACTGATGCAGTTGATTTTATAGGAGCTGACAAGGCAGTAAATCTTAACAATGGTTCATATTTGAATTTTGATAATACTGGTTCAATACGAAGATATACGCCCGATGCAATAGAAGGTTTATATATGACCCATAATGATTTTGTTGCCATTAGCGTTGGTGATGTTAGTAATGCTTCTAATCAGTTTATGATGTGTGATGGATCAGTGAATAAAACTATTTTTAGTAAACCTATTGATGTGTTAGGTAATATTTATACAAATGCTAATGTTAATTGTGATAATATCAATATTGCTACTGATGGTAAATTAACAATTGATACAAATTGTGAATTATATAGATATGTTAGTGCTTTTTCATCTTTTGATATGAGGAATAGTGATGCTAATTCTTCAATTAGATTTATTTGTGGAGATCCTGCCGTTCAATCTAATATAGTTGGAGCAGTTAATATTTCTACCGGATGGACTTTTAACACTTCTACTGCTGATGTAATGGGTAATTTATTTGCTGATGATATTTATGTTAAAACTAATGGAGCATTAAGAAGTAATCATATAGCACCTAATGGTGGAACATTAGTAACCGTTGATACTAACTTAGCAGTTCAAAATGCATATTTTGCAACTAATACCATTCAATCATTGGATTTAACAACGGTTTCATTTTTGAATAATATTTCAATGACTACTGGAACAGATCTAAAGATGGGAACAAGTGAAATATCAACTTATTACGATGGAACTAGTTTATCTACAATTGATGTAATATTTAGAACATCAAATACAGCGTTTAGAGTAGCAGATAGTTCTACTACCCCTTCTGTTTTATTATCTATTGATAAGACATTTGGAACAACAGTAAATACTGGAAGTTTCTCAAATAATGCTCCATCGACTTTTAATGAAAATGTAACAGTTGTTAATACAAAAACATTATTTGTAAATGATATTCAAGATGCTTCAGGCGATGCTATTGATATTACTGCCGGAACTGTAACCATAAATGGAAGTCTAATAGATAATTCCGATGCAAGATTGAAATATGATGTAGATTTACTTAAAAGCAACTGTATTAGTATGATTAAGAAATTCAATCCTAAAGAATTCAAAAGAAAAGATAGAGACGATAAGGATGCAATGAATCCATGTAGGTTATATCGCTGATGATTTATTAAAAGCAGTTCCGAAAGAAATTAGTAATGTAGTTCATACCGATCGTGAATATTTAGGTATTGAATATACAAAAGTTCCAATATTATTTCATAAAGCTTTACTGGAAGTGATAGATAAAGTTGAAAAACTAGAAAAAGAAATTAAGGAACTGAAAAAATCAAAAGATTTTTAGAATTTTCCTTATTTCAATCTAAGATTAAAATAAGCAAAATGTCAAAAAGAAAAATCTAAGTAATAATATATAATGGGTATTGGTCAAAGTAAAAACGATGAAAATAACAGTATGGAAGACATTAAGAATGTAAGAGTAGATGAAAAAACAAGAGCGGATACTTTAATAATTAAATCTATTCAAGAATGTGGGGCAAGGATTGAAAAAATAGAAAGTCAAACAACTAATATATAAATTACCGGCGTTGAATTTATGCAACGCTTCATTAATTTAAGTCAAAAACATTAAACAATAAATTTAATGTTATTGATTAGTTATTTTCAAATATTGTGAAAAGTTGTTCATAAACATTTTATCTGGGTTCTTTTCTAAAAGGTTAATATATAAAAAACTATGCGGTTCATCAGTGGCAGTCTCATATATTTTATAAATTAGTTTCTTGCTTTCATGTAAATTATCACTTCTAACAATTGCTGATAATTCATCTTGTAATATTTCTATATCTTTGTAGTTTCTAACTTTATAATAAAACAAATGACTTATATTTACTCTAATAATTGGTGGCACAGTTGATGATTTTTGAAGACTGACAAGCGTTGATATTCCACTATGACGACCTCTACAGAATAAAGAATTTAACAATTTGTTATTTCTTGTTATTGCTGGATTATCAGATACATCATCCAATATAACTAATATATTAAATAACTTTTTCATTCCTTGTTTTTTCTGGTATTCAATTATGTTATTTTGAGTTTCTATAACTCTTTCTAAATCTTCAACATTGAACTCATCCCACCAACACGGTTCTTTATCATTATCTACTTTCAAACCTTCCTTAATGTATTTTTTAACAGGCAACCAAATACTATCCAAATTTACTGATGGGGACCAGATAAAAATTCTTTCAAATGCACCTCTATAAATATCAAGTATCATTGATACAAGTAAAGTTGATTTTCCAGAACCAGACGGACCTACAATCATAGCTCTCATCGGCAATTTAGGGACGACCTCGTGCTTGCTTTGCTTAAAGTCATATTTGATTTCGTCAACTGGTTTTACATCAGGCATAATAAAATAATATTAAAGATATTTAGAATTTTTTTATAATTAATATTAAATGGAACATCATTATGTTATGAGTGGCGGTAAATAACATAATGGAACAGGTTTTCCATTGCTTCAATCAATAAGCATTGAAGATAATTAATTTTGTGTCTTGCTCGCGTGTGCAATGAAAACCCCAAGTGCTGTGCCCCACCAATATTCTATTATGCATGAAATAACAAGATTAATTAGAATAATTTATCTTATTATTTACTATGGATAGAAGTTATTCAGATTATATTGATATAATAGATGAAGTAGAGAATATAGAACAAGTGATAATAACTGATAACAGATGTAAGAAAGTATGCTTTTATACATTAGAATTAATAAAATTAGGGATACAATATATCAAAAATAAAAATGTAAATATTAGTATAAATGGGAAAAAAGAATAAAACAGATACTACAGTTTCTTCAACAGATGAAGACAAAGAAGAAGAAATTGTTAAAGAAACATCAGTTATTGAGTTTGAGTGTCCTATGTGTAGAAAGATGTTAGCAATGAAGAACGAATTAGAAATTCAAAAGAAAGGAAATTGTAAATGCTCGTGTATTCCGACAAATTTCAATTTGAGCAAAAATGATAAGAAAATGAAAATTGATAAAACTAAAGACAGTATCAACTTAGAAACTGATGTCCATAATATAACTTTTAAATGGGGAAGGCATGCATCACCATCCGATAATGGTGATAACGAAGCACAGGAAACTATTAAACAAATGATAAAAATTTAGTATTTAAAGAGTAGATTTTACATTAAATCAATTTTATAAATTAATAGCTAAATAAATACATATCTAATTATTTGTATAATCAGAATGCCAACTATGAATAGAGAAGACCATAGAGTTATAACGTTTGACGATGAAGAAATTAAAGACCTATTCAATGGTGATGAAAACTTTGCTAAACAATTGAGTGAAGAATATTTTGATTGGTTTGATGCTAAATTCAATGATAAATACTTTATGAAAGGTATAACTAAACCGGATAAATTTGATAAAATATTGATATATTTTTTTGAAATTGCAGGTGACGAGGAAGGTTTAATAAAAATGAACAATAAAATTGGTGAAAGACTGTTAGAATATAATTTATTTACATATATAACATTAAATTATTCAGGTAAACTGTATAATAAAACGCATAAATAAATATTGAAATAAATAATTATATAAATAAATATATATAGAAATGTCTGAAGTTGAGAATGATGCTATTGCTGAACTATCAAAGAAGGTAATGACAGTTAGTAAAAATGTTAAACTGTTGTACGAGATGATAAAAACTATTGACCAGAAACTTGATGCAAAGGCAAACGAACCAAAAAATAACAATGAAGAGAAGGAAAAGATTCACAAAATCTTTGAAAAGAAAGGGATAGGCAGACCCAGCGGTGATTATGACACGAAGCGTAAAAAATATTGTGATATGTTAAATAAGGGACAAATCAAAAGTCCAAAAGAACAAACATTAGAATACTATAAGATTATTAAGGAAGATGACAAATATGTATATGTCTAAAACATTATCTAAATCATTCTAATAAACAATATGAATTTATTAGAATTATTTAGTGGAACTGGAAGTGTAGGAACCATAGCAAAGTCACTCGGTTATAATGTCATCTCATTAGACTTGAAAAATGCTGATATTAATTGTGATATTTTGACGAGTTTGGTGGATTAAGGAATTTGAGTTGGGGTTGGAGTTCAAACTTGAAATTTCTAGGTTCATCCAACGACAACACAGTAAAATTTATGAAATTAAAAATTTTGAAAATGGTGAATTTTAAGGGGATAATCCATAGTTTAAAAAATAAATAAAACACCAAAAATATATAGATATATCCAGAAACTCTTGCCAATCGCCAAACAGGGCAACAAAAAATTTGCGAGAGTTTCCCCCTTATATATTATGTAAAATATACCCCCCATCCACCCAAAAACAAACACAACAAGCGACGGGTTCCGGACAGGTGCCCGACCAGAAGACATAGTCCAGAAAGAAGATACCTGCGGGAGATGCGAGCACTAACCAAAATGGGGATGGGGTAAAAAAAAACGAGGGAGGGTGGTTTCTGTCAGACCTACACCACACCTGCCTTCAACCTAACCTGCCTCAACCCCCCCACCCAGCAAATGCTGAAACACTACATTTTTCAAGCTGAGCTGAAAGATGCTACACAAAGCATGTGCCCCATCCAATGCGCTGTCTGGCACTGAAATGAGTCCCTGCTGACCAACGAGAAAAAGGCGATTTAACAATGCCTGCAAAATGGCGGTCAGGCTGACCGAAAAGTGGCGGTCAGGCGGTCAGGCTGACCGAAAAGTGGCGGTCAGGCGGTCAGGCTGACCGAAAAGTGGCGGTCAGGCGGTCATGTCTCTAATTTCTCAAGACAAAACACAACCACGCTCAGGTTCAGCCAATGGACGAACTTGGCGTTCAATCAACTCCTCGCCCAAGTCCTTCAAGAAGCCACCGTGGTAATACCGCAACTCTCCGGCATGCTCCTCATTGTAGCGGGTGGCATACATCATGAGAAGGCATGATGCCAATTCCTTCTGAAGAAGTGTCATCCCCATCTTGGTCTGCTCAATCACTGACATGGTGGGAAACATAAGGTTGATTGACTTGAGCACACGAAGCTCGCTGACATCCTTTTTGCCCTTCAGCTTTTCCTTCATGAGCGCCTCAATTGCCACCAGCTTGTCATCCGGAGTGAATTTCAATGCCATCAAGATTGGACATCGCCCTTGGGATGCCATGAAGCAGGCGTTGGCAATCTGCTGGCGCTTCTCCTCCATGAAGTCATGGATGGGTTGGGGGACAAGGGTTGCGTCGTAGATGGTCTCATCTTCTTCATCTTCCACTGACTTCAACTGCTTGATGTAATCACGGCTCTTCTTCTTGAACCTGTCAAGCATCTGTTGCTTGGAAAGATGACCACGGACAAGAGCCCCACCACTCAACCCACGCACCTTCAGGTAGAATCCGTCAAAGCCAGCGGTGTCCATGCACTGTTGCACAGTCAACGACCATGAGTATGGACTGCCACGGCCGTCGCTGAAAACAAGCTGGTCTTTCTGCTCATCTTCAATGCTTTCAAACACCATCACGAAGTCAAGTAGTCCTTTCAAGTCCATTCTGTGGTCAATCCCGCCGTGAAACATCACGCTCTTGCTTGCGTAGTCCTTGATGGACACAAGGCTCATGTCGCAATCTCCCGGCCGAGGCAGTTGGTCAGCATCATCATCTGACATAGGAGGAGTTCCCACAATCTCATCCTCTTCTGACGAAGATGACACCCCAACAGCTGGCGTCTGAGGGGTGGCAACAACCTCACCGCCGGTCATCACAAAGTATATCTGGTCGCCATCGTTCTCCACCCCGTAGCTGAAGAGCTTGCGGGTGTTCTGGAGCTCAACAGCCATGCCATCTGCGTTGTTCCGGATGAGGCGCTGGTGGTGGTAGCGGAAGCCATACTCAGTACGCAAGTGATGCTTGAACTTGGACACTGAGTATGAAGGGCAACCTTTGACAGTGAACTTCTCACCAGAAGGTCGCAACAACACAATGTCAATCTCCATGTCTCGGCACTTCTTCAAGAGCTCACGGATGTCCTTAGTGTTCCTCTTGATGCGGTAGCTCATCTCAGCATTTTCTGCCTGAAGCTCTTTCATCATCCGCTTCATACCCTGAAGGTCTGCAGGTGTGGCAGTAGACGAAGAGGCGGGCTTCTTCTCAACAGGTGTAGGGGCAGAAGCTGGGGCGGATGACGAGGGCTCTTCCGGTGCTGTGTCATCAAGCTCAGCGCCTTGGCATGTCAAAGAAATTCCACGGTAGGTAATGGTCAAGCCGTCCTTCTCCATCTTATCCATGCCGTTGAACGCCACCTCATCCTGAAGAGCCTTGAGCTGATTGACAACCTTCAAAGCCTCTACGGTAGGGCTCGTGAGCATGATGTTGATGGTATAGTTGCCAGTGAAGGGGTTGTAGAAGCACCCCAGCTCGTTAAACTGGTCCTCATCCTCCAGTGTGACCATCGCCCCCTTGTGCTTGCCATATTTCAAGACCATGGTTTTATGGTCTATTCCTGTTGCTTGTTCCAGCAATTTGTTTGCATCCTTCACCACATCTCGTAGGTTCATTGCAAGAGTGGCACCCATGATGGAATACATGTCCACTTTCACACGAACAGCCATTGTCGGTAAGGGAAATGCTCAGTAAGAGCAACAACCTCCTGTGCCAAAAAGTGCTCCGTTCAAGCATGGTATTCAGCTCAAAACGCACCAAGCTCAAGTTGAACATTCTGCAACATTTTGAGCAATTTTCTGCGCCGTCCCACTCTGCCCCCAAATCTCCGGCCTCTTCAATGATGGTGTCGGTGTCCCCGAAGCCGGGCGGGCACGACGGGCGAGGCGGTGACCCTCAGAACCTCCTAATCCTACATCCTACATCCTACATCCTACACCATAAACCTTACAATAAAAACATTGTAAGATTTATGTTTTGAAATTATGGGGATTTTATATTTTGGGATCTTGGAAAAATATATTTTGGGAATTTGGGATTTTGGAAAAATATGGTAAAATTGGTTGAGGTGGCGTGCCCCTGTTGGTTAATATGGTTGAAGTGGTTGACTGAGGGGATTTTATCTGAACTAGGGCATGCCCTTTGGTAGGTGTTTGATCGTCGCTCGGGATTGCGACCCTCTGCGGAGATTCGCGTGGTCGAGGTTCAAAAACTGAGGACTTTTTACGATTTTTAGCATGCGCGCGCGACCCTCTGCGGAGATTCGCGTGGTCGAGGTTCAAAAACTGAGGACTTTTTTACGATTTTTAGCATGCGCGCGCGACCCTCTGCGGAGATTCGCGTGGTCGAGGTTCAAAAACTGAGGACTTTTTACGATTTCTGCATGCGCGCGCGACCCTCTGCGGAGATTCGCGTGGTCGAGGTTCAAAAACTGGGACTTTTTACGATTTTTAGCATGCGCGCGCGACCCTCTGCGGAGATTCGCGTGGTCGAGGTTCAAAAACTGGGGACTTTTTACGATTTCTGCGGGCGCGCGCGACCCTCTGCGGAGATTCGCGTGGTCGAGGTTCAAAAACTGAGGACTTTTTACGATTTCTGCTGCGCGCGCGACCCTCTGCGGAGATCGTGCGCGTCGAAGCGCTCTCGCTGTGGCGCCGTGCGAATTTGTCTTAGTCTCGGCGAACCCTCTGCGGAGATTGTGCGTGTCGAAGCGCTCTCGCTGTGGCGCCGTGCAATATTCTTGCTCGCGAAACGGCCTTTGGAAGTTGTCTCGTGGTTTGCGCGCCTGCTTTCGCAATCCCGCGGTCGCGGGTTCGATTCCCCCCTGGTCCGCGGCATCTCCGGCTTGAAAATCGCAGCTTTTAAGTACAAACGTAGTACGCGGAGCGTGCTCCTGCAGCTCCGGCTGGAAAATCGTAACTTTTAAGTACAGACGTAGTGTGCGGAGCGTGCTCCCGCAGCTCAGGCTGGAAAATCGCAACTTTTAAGTGCAAACGTAGTACGCGGAGCACGCCCCCGCAGCTCCGGCTTGAAAATCGCAACTTTTAAGTACAAACGTAGTACGCGGAGCGTGCTCCTGCAGCTCCGGCTGGAAAATCGCAATTTTTAAGTACAGACGTAGTATGCGGAGCGTGCTCCCGCAGCTCAGGCTGGAAAATCGCAACTTTTAAGTACAAACGTAGTACGCGGAGCACACCCCCGCAGCTCCGGCTGGAGAATCGCAACTTTTAAGTACAAACGTAGTACGCGGAGCACACCCCCGCAGCTCCGGCAGCACTTGCGCAGAGCAACTTGCGCAGAGTCACTTGCGCAGAGCAACTTGCGCAGAGCAACTTGCACAGAGCAATTGCACAAAGCACTTGCGCAGAGCAACTTGCACAGACCAACTTGCACAGAGCACATGCGCAAAGCGCTTGCACGGAGCAACTGGCGCAGAGCCCTTGCGCAGAGCAACTTGCTCAGAGCACTTGCGCAGAGCAACTTGCACAGAGCAGGCGCAGAGCAACTTGCACAGACCAACTTGCGCAGAGCACATGCGCAAAGCGCTTGCGCGGAGCAACTGGCGCAGAGCACTTGCGCAGAGCAACTTGCTCAGAGCACTTGCGCAGAGCAACTTGCACAGAGCACTTGCGCGCAGCAGCTTGCAGAGAGCAACTTGCGTGCAGCAGCCTGGAACAATGCAGCTTGCGCAGACCACTTTCGTGAGAAATCGCGCGGCGCAGTTCGAGAGGAACGTAGGATGATGAGATGGAGCTCTCATGTGACCATACACACTGAGCATCGCCGCGCGCAGACACGCTCGCCGCAGCGATGTAAAAAGGTGTCTCCTCGGCTGGATGAGCACCTGTGGAAAAATGCTTTCGGGCCAATCGTCCTCTAGTTTTTGTTCTGGGGGCTTAAGCAAATGGAGGTTTGTGCCTTGTCTTTGATGCCAAAGAAGCAGTGGCTCGGAACTCAAGGCTGGCTTGGGGGTTGAACTGTCGCGGGATTGGGGAAGCGCCTTCAGCCGTTTTTGGAATGAGACCTCCTCCAAAAGTATCTCTCTCCAATTGGAGCTATTGGGAAATCCGAAGTGTTGAAGACTGAAGAGGATATCTAGTGAGCCCTCCCCACCATTTGTCCCTCCCTCCCTCTCCCTCTCCCTCTCCCTCTCCCTTCCCCTCTTCCCCCCCCTCTTGCCCCCCTCTCTCTCTCTCTCTCTCTCTCTCTCTCTCTCTCTCTCTCTCTCTCTCTCTCTCTCTCTCTCTCTCTCTCTCTCTCTCTCTCTCTCTCTCTCTCTCTCTCTTTCTTTCTCTCTCTCCCTCTCTTTCTCTCTCTTCTCTCTCTCCCTCTCTGTCTCTCCCTCTCTCCCTCTCCCGCTCTCTCTCTCCCTCTCTCTCTTTCCGTCTCTGTCTCTCTCTCGCTCTCTCTTGCTTTCTCTCTCTCTCTCTGCCTTTCTAACGGCTGGATCCTTCGGCTCCCCCTTCCTTCATAAAAAGTCCAGCTTTTGAGTCGCATCGCAGCCTCATTGCAGGGTGCGAATCCCTTGCCCAAGTATCTGTGACCCTCCTTTGAGTTGCCCTTTTTCAAGCTCACTTCCTGAGTTCCTGGACTTATATTTTTTTTGGGAAGACCATTTTGGTGGCAACTATGTTTTGGTCTTTGATTGGCCAATCTACTGAGGAAGTGAGAAAGAACACCGGGTCTGCTTGTTTCAACCAACTTTTCGTTGCACATTTGCCAACTTTGGCTGCGCCTCTTCAGGCACAAAAGGAGCCGCCTGAGGTGGTAGCGCGGAATGCCCGTGGGCCCAACCGCAGCTTTTCTCCCTTGGTGGGTGTGTCTGCGTGGCGCTTTGGGTCTTCAGCGTGTCGTTGTTTGATATCTCCCTCCATGTTTCTTCTCGAGGTGTTCTACGAACAATTACTGGATCTCGAGATTGTCATCAATTGTTTGGTCAAGCCTCTCATGCGTGCATTGTGTTCGAATCCTATTTTGGGCGCTTTCTGCGTAAGACTCTTTGTCCAAGAACTCTTAGTAAACAGTGTCTCACAATTCTGGATCTTGTTGTCATCAGCATCTTTCCCAGTCGTTTCTTCAAGTTCATCTTCCAGTATTCGATCCTTGATATGCATCATGGATCTTGAGCCTTCCCCATCACATTGTCAAACTGCCTGCTGTATATGCAAATGACACTTTTTCAGCCGGCTTTTGCGTCGGCGTTCTCCGAATCGTTCTTTTTTTGTTCTGAGGGCTGGCCTGTTTCCAAAAGCCGGTTTCCAGTGCCAGCCACTTTCTGGCCGCGTTATTCATCTTCATTCCTGGGCTTTCAGCAGGCAGAAGAATCCAAAAGAGGTGCTCAAGACAAGCAAACAAAGAAGCAAAGACACCAGCCAGCAACCAAGCCAAGCCAGCAAGCAAGCAAAAGGCAAACAATCAAAGAAGCGAGCAAACGAGCAAGCACACATGCAAACAACCAACCAACCAACCAACCAACCAACCGACCAACCAACCAAACAAACAAGCGAAAAAACAAATAAAAAAACAAAATAAAAAAAAAAAACAAACAAACAAGCACACATTTGCAAACGGGGAAAAAAATAAAGAAAAAAAGAGAGTAAACAACTCCAGACCCTTCAGATCTTTCTTTGTCCCAGATTCCAAGCCTTTCCAAGGTGCAGGCCACCCAGGAGGTGTTAGAGCAGGCACGGCAGCCGGCGCCGGAGCCTCAACGAGTTGGGTTCGAGAGAGATGCTCGTGGGGTTCTCACTTCCTGAATTCCGTTTCGAACTTCATGGTGACTTTGTGGGGGTTGGACTGGCTTCAATTTGTTGGGATTGGACTATTTTGGTGATGAACAAAAGTTCGGCTACGTTGTTGTTGTCCCATCTTTGCGAACCTTTTAGTTTGGATGGGTTTGGAGGCTAGGGACTTAGTTTCCATGGTTTAACAGCGCAGGGTTTCTAATCCCCAAGCCACCAATCCAAACCACCATTTTGGGCTGGCTTCGACTCTGGCTTTGTCTTTGGGTAAGCTATAATGTCATGGCAGTTCCGCGCGCAGAAAAGAAACCCATCGTCCTTGTCACGTGTTTGAGCGCGGTTTGTTGAAGAGTAGCCCACTTCCGTTTTGTGATTTTGTGTGGGGTAGCAAAAAGGCATCTTCGACTAACATGCCAGTGGGCCCCCGTGGGACGTTGTGTTTATTTGGCCCATGCAAACCCACGGTCGGTGCCACCTGGTTGGGGGCTAGGCGACCGTCCGGAACGGCGCTGAACCGGTTTTGGACCAGCGTTCCATAGACCCGCAACAAAGCTCAATGACTTGCGTTGTCGAAGGGAAACCTTGCGCCTAGCTATCTCAAGCTATCTCAAGCTTCAACAACTGGGTGTGTCTTTTTTGGGGGGACTCCCATAATTATGATTGTCCTTTGGGTTTCGCTTTAACAGGGCTCCTTAAAAGATCTCCATTTTGCAACCATTTGAAACATGGCTGTTTCCGCCAAAATGAAAAGGGACAACACCATTGACAAG